ATAAATGAATGAAGACTTCTATTCTGAGTACCCAAGCCAGAACATGTGTGTAGACCTAGTACTCAACCAATACCAGTCATCTGGGTGCCATTAGGAAGATGGAATGCAATGAGGATGGGCAACTCCAGTCCAAAACCATGCAGCATGGGGAATATACCATCCAGTCCATGATAGGAGGAGGGTCCTAGCCCAACCACATGTGTGAAGACTTATGTTGACCACTACAGCTCCAACCAACATCAGCACATCCAGGCAGCAGTAGGAAGGAAGGTTCCCAGTCAGAGGGGGGGAACTACATGTGGTGGGTTCATTCAGTCCAAAACTAATCAGCATCTTGAATTGTACATCAGGTTTACATTAGGGGAAGGGTACACACCATTTACATAGGCAGAAATCCACTGAGTGGGAATGAGCACACTCAGGAGGAAACCTCTATTGTCCACCACCCCAGCAGCTAGAAGCTGGTAAGAACTCCCATACTCCACTAGAAGATGAAAGAGATAGTGCAGTGGGGAGTTTGGAGGAACACAGCAATGGAGAAAGTGACCATGGAAGCCTATTTTTAAAAGCAGGCTGAACCCACTGTATGCAACTAAGAGTGAAGGAAATGGTTAGCAACCCTTCCCTGCTTCACCCATGATACTCCACGAGTTGCTACAGTCTTGGATGGGCATATTTATGATGCAATATACTGTTAGGATGAACCTATTAGTGGTCTTGTGGAACACCCCATCTCAACAGTGAGTATTATAGACCTGAAAAGGCAATTTGTGTGGAGTTTGGTGGCTGGTCCAGCTCCGATCAAAAACCAGACCACTTGGGAACTGACATCCAGAAGGTGGTACGATGGGAGATCCCCAGTCGAATAGTATACCTAGACAGGCATCACTCGCCACTGAGTGGGATCCTATATGAAGCATATGGCAACTGTAAAAGAAGGAAATAAATGAAAACTTACCCACTCAAAGTTGAAAACCAAGTGGTGTAGAATGGCAACAGGCAGCAATCAGTATCCAGAGAAGGAGGAGACAGCTAAATGGAAATAATGAAAGTGAACAGTGTAGTCCACCCACCTACCTGGAAGATCTCCATCAACAGATGATGGAAGAAAGCAGCCACAGATAGTGCAAACTGATGGTTATAGTGGAAGGAGACAACGAAAATACGATGGGAAACTGAAGACAAGGAGATATAAGCCAACTGAATGAGTTGGCAAAGCAAACCAGTTAAGGTTACAGGAGAAAGGTCATGGATGGAAGAAAGATTCCAATGGAAAAGGAGTTGAGAATTGAAACCAAGGAAGGAAGACATGCATGGAAATGAATATCAAAGAGCATGAAACAGGAAGAGGAAATGATCTGGATTATAACAGGAATACAAATAAGAAAGGGAAAGCAGGGACATCCACATGAAAGAGATGAGTCCCTCATGATCCACCAAGGTCTTCAGAAGGAAAACATGATGGAAATGGATACACAGTACATCAAGAATGAACACC